AGGAATGCCCTTGGCGGGGGGGTCCCCAGCTTAGACTACAAAGTGAGTGCAGGAACAGAGAAGCTGGGCTGTATCTCTGGGAAGGGTTTAGTGTCCATGCCCGTCAGAGGGCTGGGGTGGGGGTGCTGGGGCCCAGTGTTGCTGGGCAGGGGAGGGCAGTTGCCCCCCTGGAGGGGCTCACCAGCTCTTGTGGTTCCCAGCAGGCCTAGGCAGAAGGATGGGAGTGGAGGGGTCCTTGTTACAGGCGAACATGTGCGTTCTCTTGATATGAGGTGTCTCGAGACAGGCTGGGGTGATGGCTTGGAGGCTGCTGCCAGTCCCTTGTCTGCCTGCTTTGCTGGGGAGAAGCCTCAACCCCTCTAACTTGGCCTTACTTTCCTTCCTGTTCAGTGAACACTTATGAAGAGGACCAATCCCTCCCAGAGTCCAGGGCCAGCCGGACCACGGCCCTGTCCCTTGGAGCTCACACAAGGGACAGTCTCTGCTGGGGGTCCGGCAGCTTTCCCCTGCCATCCTGCACACATCTCGCTGGAGAAGTGACTGGGTAACTCCTCCTGGCCTCAGTCTGGCTGGGCTCTCTGGGTGCAGCACCTCCAAGGACCTTGAGCTGCTGGGGACCAAGCAGTGATGCAGCTGAGAGATCTAAGCTGGTATGGTGCTGGGCGAGGAGACAGCCTGCAGTGGGTGCAAGCACCCTCTCTCTGCTTTCCCACGAGATCCCCAGCTCCTGCAGCCTTGGCTGGGCATTGCCTGGCAGCTCTTGCTCACTAAACCAGAGACTCTCCAAAGGGTATCTGATGTCAAATGAGGCACCATGGCCTTTGACTTACTGACCTGGGGGTAAATTGGCCTCTTTCAGGGTGACTGTCAGGCTGCTTGGCAGCTGTAATAGGCCTTTAAGGAAAAAAAGGGAGTTAAAACCCACCCCTTCCTTTAGAGCCTCATCTCTCCCTGTTAGTAGGGATGTGACCTCATTTTAAAGCAGTCTTTCAAAATGTTTGGCTCAAGGCTCCTGTCCCTTTGCCCTGTCCATCACTAAGTGAGCCCTGGGGGAGGGATGCTGTGCCTGGTGGAGGACAGCAGGGTGTCCAGGGGAGTGCCTGGGAGCTGTTGGGGCATCCCAGCCTAGCCCTACCAGTAAGTCAGTCTGGGAACCCTCTTGGTTTTTTGTGGTGGGTGAGTTGGCAGATTTCCTTCCTGGCCATGTCTTGCTTTATTTAATCTTCCCTGTTCCCCTCACTGTTCCCCAGCAGGTGCCTTCAGCCCTACTGCCCCCATGTGCCCCTTTGCCCATCTCGCCCTGCCTGGGAGCCACTGGCTGCCTCCCCCTCTTGGCCTCTCCATTCCCTGTGCTGGCACGAGGATAAAGTCTTGGCGCTGCAGGGGTGGAGTAGGGACCAACCTCTTCCTCCTGGCACAGGGGGAGCCTGCAGGGTGGCTTGCTGGGCCCTCAGGTCAATCCTGTATCGTGGGACCACTGTGATGGCAGCCATGTCCTCACTGTGCTGTACTGGGGTCAGACCTCCCTGGGGCTGCCTGTCACTAATCTCAGATTGTATGATTAGAGTGTCTTATTTTCTTACTAGCACTACATGGATCCAGCCCTGGGAGCAACCCAGGGGCTGGTGCGTGACCACCCGTCTCTTGCGTGCAAAGTCAATGCTCTGTAGATAAGTCTCCTGGTTGCCATCTCCTGGTGGTCGCTTGGCTCAGGATGGAGATGGGAGCAAATAAATATGGGAGAAACAAGCGGCTTGGGCTGTGTGTATGTGGAAGGGTGGTGTGTGTTCATGCCTGCTCGGCAGGCTGTGGGGATCTTGCCTTGGGGTGCAATTCTGCTTGGGGGGGGGAGGGGGGGGCATGAGGACTGCTCTCAATGGGAGCTGTTGTTTTGCTGACCTGGCCTGAGGGCTGGGATTGCAGGAGAGACTTGGGAGTTACTGTTTGGGGCTTGGAGCCATGCTGCCCCTGTGAGTCCGTTGTCCCTTCTGAGTCAGCAGTGGCACATCTGTAAATCGCAGCTGTCTCCCTCCAGCTCCCTGCTTCCATTGCTACCCATGACCTGTTGCAAAGGAGCTAGTTTGCAGGTCCCTTCCTGGTGGTATCCCCAGGGGTTGTGGGTGCTGGGGGCTGCCTGGGCATCCTTCACCTGTTCAGCCAGAGGCGTTTACTGAGTCCTGCTGCCAAGTGAGCTGGGCTGGCACAGCCTAGCCTGCAGCAAAAGAGTAGTGGGGCCTAACTCATCTTGACCTCCCCACACTGCAGCTTGGGAGAATGTGATGAACCTGGCTCTGGGCTGGTTGCTCTCCCACCTGGCTCCTTGAGCTTTGCTAGAGCCATTCCTATACGGCAGAGCTCATCTGATCTTCATCAAATAACCTGCACTGCCTGATCAGGTTCCCAGGCCCAGGGATCGCCTTACGGCTGAGCTGGGAGCCAGCACCTATCTATAATTCAGCAGGGCCAGCAGCTGGTGGGAGGATGCAGCAGGCAGGCAGGCAAGGCAGGCAGGCTGAGGAGGACAGCCCCATGGAGAACGGCATGGGGCAGGAACCGAGGGCTGCCGAGACACCCACTGCAGAGGGTGCCCCAGCACCCCGGGCCCCCCGGGTCCGCCCACGGCTGGTGTTTCACACCCAGCTGGCCCACGGCAGCCCCACAGGCCGCATCGAGGGCTTCACCAACGTGAAGGAGCTCTATGCCAAAATTGCTGAAGTCTTCAGCATCGCGCCCACTGAGGTGAGGGGGCTGTGGCTGCTGGGGGGGAGGGGGCTTGCTCTGCACTGGTTCTGCTAACCAAAGCCTTAATGCCAACCCCATGGCACTGACTGTGGGCTAGCCCTGCTACGTGTCCCCAGCAGCCTGCAAATCCAGCCCCCCAAAGTGCACTGGCAAAGTGCATTTTAATCTAAGGGCTGTCTTCCCTGGAGAGAGGTTGGGTTGCTCATACCTTGGTTTTCCCACATTGTGCAGGCAGTGAGCTGGGGGAAGGGACCCTGGGCTGTGTACACCTTGGCTGTCCTGCTTCAGCTGATGCTGGATGCCGTGTAAGCCTGGAGCTGAGGGGGTGGGTGTGCTGGGTGGACACAAGGGTGCATGCAGATGGGTGCAGCCCATGCAAGGATGGGTCCAGGCCTTGTTGCCCCCAGTCCCCTGCCTGTCAGGGTGGGCTCGGGATCCTGTGGATCACTGGAGCACTTTGGTCCTGCAGCAGCCAGACCTGGCCTGATCCACCCTTGCCGGGGATCACCGCTAGCAGTTGTGTGCTGGCCTGGCACCTCTGATGCCCCCTGCTCTCTGCGGGGTGTCCCCAGCCACCGGGCAGGAGGTGATGAGGCTGCCTGGGGCAGATCCTCTTTTGCACGCTCAACACGCACAAAGTGGACATGCAGAAGCTGCTAGGTGGGCAGATCGGCCTGGAGGACTTCATCTTCGCCCACGTCCGGGGTGAGACAAAGGAGGTGGAGGTGACCAAGACTGAGGATGCCCTTGGCCTCACCATCACGGACAATGGGGCTGGCTATGCTTTCATCAAGGTGAGGGCACATGGTGCTGAAGGGGGCTTCAGGGACGCCCTGGGGGGGGGGGGGGCAGGACCTATGACCTGTGTAATGTGCTATTGCCTGTCCTGCCACCCTGACCCTAGCAGCAGTTTCAGACCCTCACTTCCTGGGTCAGTGCTGCATTGCCACCCTGACCCACACCCTAATCCTCAGCCTTATTGCACCAGGGAAGAGGAGGAAGAGGTTGCTGTGGCTTGTGGGTGCCCCAAGCCTGCTTCAGAGCTGGGAAGTCCCTACTGAGAAACAGGGGGGCAAGAGGGGCCAGGAGAGCTGACATCCCCCCCAAAACAGCCCTGAGGGTGAAAGCCGGCCTGGATGTTGTTCCCCCCCGCCAGCAGCTCTTGGCCTCCTGGCCTGACCTGGTTGGGATGGTACCAAGGGAAAGTGGACCATGGAGGCACCCATGTGTGGCATAGGGTGAGGGCTGCACCCATCCATCCTTCCCACGAGGGTGAGCTCCTATGTGACATTCCCCCCGCTGGTGTCGCCGTGTCCCTGCAAACCCTAGCGAATAAAGGAGGGGAGCATCATCAACCGCATCCAGACAGTGTGCGTGGGCGACAGCATCGAGGCCATCAATGACCACACCATCGTGGGCTGCCGGCACTATGAGGTGGCCCGGATGCTGCGGGAGCTGCCCCGGGCTCAGCCCTTCACCCTTCGCCTAGTGCAGCCCAAAAAGGCCTTTGGTGAGTCACAGTGTAGGCTGTGGGTCTGGTGTCACCCCTGGCCAGGTGTGGGTCCTGGGGTCTCCCTGCTTTTACCCCAGGGCTGAGGGAGCCCCGGCTTGAGGCACACTGGGATCCCATTCCCACAGGTCCCTCCCAGCAACACGCGGGTCCTGTGCACTGATCCCTACGGTTGCACGTGTGTGTGTGTGCATGTGTGCATGCGCATGTGTGCGCGCACGCTGTGACATCCTGACCAGGGTGCCATGGTCCTGCACCCAGCCCAGTCCCTCCTGCCTTGCAGCCCCCTCCCCAAGGACCTCATTCCTCCCCCCCACCCCCGGCAGGGGCCACACTGGATGCCAAGAGCAGTGCCAGGCCCACAGCTTCAACTCGCACTGTACCCGTATGCGCACCCATGTCTCTAGGTGCACCTCCATACTCATATGTGCAACCTCTGGTATGGCTATGTGTCCCTATATCTGTGGGCACCCTCTCACTGCAGTTGTGTGCACCCTCACACTGTGTGTGTCATTGCATCACACCCATGTGCACCCCCCCCATGCCCTTGTGTGTACCTTTGCACTGCACCTGCACCCCACAGCCCT